AGTTTCTTTCTTTTTTTTTTCTTTTTTCTTTTTTCTTTTTCGTGTTCTTTTTTTTTCTTTTTTGCTTTTTTTGATTATAACTCGTATCAGTAGACTAATCGTTCGCTTGGAGATGTTTCGAAAGGAGTGTATTTGAAAGTTTGATTAGATCGATATTAGAAGAATTAGTAAATTGAGAGTGAGTATTTGTATGTATGCTCTATTTATAACTCATAGATATTTAATTAGAAAAATTAATGTTCATTTTTTTTTTCTTTTTTTTCTTTTTTTTTTTCAATACCGGAATTATATATTAAAAGTTTTTAAAGAATTTCATTATCTCGGTGTTGTATATAACGTCGACGACATTAATTAAAACGATGTTGATGTATTTTACGTTTTCATGATGGGATTAATTAATGAAACTAGTAACTCTTAGAAATCAGTTTCGGAAAAGTTTTTCAAGTATCGTTAAGAAGACTTTGGCGGTGATTTGGTGATCGATCTTTTCGTTCCAACTAACAGATAGAACTTTGTCGGTACGTGGAACAAAGCTGTCGAACAATCTCTTCCGTGTAGAGAATGGCGAGGTCGACGATGACGACGACGACGACGACGACGACGACGACGACGACGACGACGACGAAGACGACGACGACGACGATGACGACGACGATGAGGACGAGGACGAGGACGAGGATGAGAGCGAGAACGAGGACAACATACTGTATTCAGATTAAACCGCAATTTCGACGTGTAATTGGAACGAGATAGGGACACAATGCGAAACTGTCCTATACGATGACTTCGATCCCTTTAACTCCCTTTTAACCCGCTTAAGTCATAGAGCATACACCTGATTACTAATTAGATTCCTGGGATATGCTGCAAGTGTGTGTGTGTATATATGTGTGTGTGTGTGTGTGTGTGTATGCATGTATTTATGCGTGTAGAAATAGAGAGAAAAAGAGAGAGAGAGTTTCCCACCAGCAGTGTTTAAAAAGTGAATCTGAAAAACGAGATTTATCAATATCATCGATCGTTCCGCATTGAGCTTTGAAAGTAATGAAAATAATAATCATATATATATATATATATATATATATATATATATGATATATATATAATCATGATTAACGATTCCAATTTCACAAACATCGTTAGTAATTTCCTTTCAACATGTTACCAGCGTATCAACTAGGCCGTAACTCTCGTTTTTTTTTTTTCGAGGATTCTTTAACGATAAAACAAAATTTTTCCTTTTATACGAGTAAGAGAGAGACAGAGAGAGAAAGAGAGAGAGAGAAAGTGAAAGAGAGAGGAGAGAGAGAGAGAGAGGAGAGAAGGGGAAAGAGTGAGGGAAAGGGAGAGGGCAGTTGCAGTACGATCGAATTAAATCGAGTGCACCGGCCAAGCTCGACTCCGTCACGGATCACTCTCGATCGCGTTCTCTCGAGTGAAGTGCAATTAATTATCGTTAAATTGGATTGACGATATTTCATGAGAAGGTAGAACTACGGGACGCTTCCACGGATCATTGAGTCGGTAAATCGACTGCCAAGAGCGGACGTACTCACGGGAAATGTACCTAATCGGAGTAGGAGAAGGTCGGTTGTATGTCGCTTATCGCAAGGATTTCTTAAGGTTCCATCAATTTTATCGTATATCGTTCTTCTCGACTCTCCTCCTTTTCCTTTTCCATTCGTCTTAAATTAAAAGTCGTATGGGAATCGACAAGGAGTCGTGATCAATCGTATAGCCCTTATCCTTTTTTCTTTCTTTCTTTCTTTTTTTCTTTCTTCTTTTTTTTTTCCTTTTTCTTTTTCTTTTCTCTTTCCCCCCCCCCCTCCACCCCACCATAATTATTTCAATCACTTGACATAAATTCATTGACGTGAAAATAAAAATTTTCATTCGTTTTCATATCTTTCATTTTCTCTTTTTTTTTTTTCTTCTTTCTCTTTTTCTTTTTCTTTTTCTTTTTCTATTTTACATAGAGAGATAGAAAGAACAAGATGGTGCATGGGAGATTCTCTTGAACGGTGCTTCGTTCAATTTCACGGTGGCTTCGACTCCACGAATTATTCGATCTTTCATCGAACGAAACCCCTCTCTCATCCTCGAAGATGTCGAATATAATATTCGTTTGGCTTTCCGCGAAGGGGTCATCATCACGTTGGCGGAGGTTAATGTCACGGTGGTTTTCTGCGATATTCCATTAAGAGGACGCCTCTCGCGTTATCGTTCTATTAAGCTGCCTCTTCTATCGTGCCCTCTGACGCTCGCGAAAAGTGGTTACTAGGAATGGGAAGAGAGCGACAGAGAGAGATAGGTAGATAGATAGATAGATAGATAGATAGATAGAGAGAGAGAGAGAGAGAGAGAGAGAGAGAGAAGTAGAGTTATAGATAGAAGGGGAATATCGGCGGTTATGTCGCCGCCGCGTTTATTCCGCTTCCAAGCTGGTGGCCGCCGACATTGCGGCTGGCGGCGCGTCGATTCGAATTTGAATTCGCTTGCT